TGACTCACACCTGTAATTCTAGCACTTTGAGAGGCTGAGGGGGAAGGACTGTTTGAGCCCTGGAGTTTAAGACCAGCCTGGGCAACATAGCAAGATTCTATCTCTATTAAAATATACATATTTACATTACATTAATCAGAAAAAAAAATTACTGCACAATTTAGTGGAAAGATACCAAAAGACCTTAGTTCTAGTCATATTTTTCATGACTTTCCATATGATCTAGGATAAGTCATAATTTTCCTGAATCTTCTTAGGATTTTTTGAGTTTCAAAGGAGATTATAGGTGTTGCATTTTGGGAAAGAGATATATGGCCATCAGTGGCTTAGAAAAGAGTCAACGGGATGTGGAAATTCACAGACAGCTCAGAGGCAAGGTAAAAGAAAAATTCTGAAGAACCTCAAAGTTAAAAAGAGCAAGGTAATAAACCTAGAATGTCTTTGTCACCTCAGGCTTCATAACAAAGTACCACAACTGGGTGGTTTAAACAACAGAATTTTATTTTCTCAAAACAACAGAAATTTATTTTCTCACAGTTCTGGACCAAGGTGCCAGGTGGGCCAGTTTCTAGTGAAGGCTCTCTTCCTGAATTATAGTTACCTTCTCACTGTGTCCGTACATCGCAAAGAGACAGAAAGCTCTCTGATATCTTTCTCTTCTTCTTTTTTGTTTTTCAAGACAGAGTCTTGCTCTGTTGCCCAGGCTGGAATGCAGAGGCACAATCTCAGCTCACTGCAATCTCTGCCTCCCAGGTTCAAGCGATTGTCCTGCCTCAGACTCCCGAGTAGCTGGGATTATAGGCACCCACCACTATGCCTGGCTAATTTTCGTATTTTCAGTAGAGACAAGGTTTCACCATGTTGGCCAGGCTGGTCTCACACTCCTGATCCCATGATCCACCTGCCTTGGCCTCCCAAAGTGCTGGGAACACAGGCATGGGCCACCGCACCCCGCCTGATGTCTTTTCGTAAAAGGGTACTAATCCTATCATGAGGGTCCCATCTTAATGACCTCATTTAAACCTAATGATCTCTTGAAGGACCCATCTCCAAATACCAATACTTTGGGGGTTATGGCTTCACCATATGAATTTGGGGTGGGGCTGTCAGGGGTGGGGGGACACAATTCATTCCATAGCACAGCAGCTCAGCAGATTTCTGACTACCTGGGTAGCAGAACATACCTACTTTCCGCTGGAGGTTGAGAGAAGAGAGCAGAAGAGAAAGAACTGAAGATTCTTTGAGTTGGTGTAGTATACAAAAGGAATGCAAATTTTCAGCAACAGATTTTTCTACTGGGGATCCTGATTATCATTTCATTGTATCAAGTTCAAGATGCAACTATATTCTACTTCACATTCTTTGAAGGAAAAAAAATCAACAAAACTGCGTGTGTGTGTGTGTGTGTGTGTGTGTGTTTTAAGACAAACACAGTCTTCTCTGTCACCCAGGTTGGAGTATAGTGGCATGATCATAGCTCACTGCAGCCTCAAACTCCTGGGCTTAAGTGATCCTCCTACCTCAGCCTCCTAAGTAGCTGGGAACAGAGACATAAATCACCATGCTCAGCTAGTTTTTAAATTTTTTGTAGAGGTGGGGTCTTGCTATGGTGACCAAGCTGGTCTCAAACTCCTGGCCTCAAGCAATCCTCTCACCTCAGCCTCTCAAACAGAACTTTCATAAAGACACTGTGAGGAGCCGGGTGTGGTGGCTCACACCTGTAATCCCAGCACGTTGGAAGGCTGAGGCAGGCAGATCATGAGGTCAGGAGTTCAAGACTAGCCTGGCCAAAATGGTGAAATCCCATCTCTATTAAAAATACATGTAATTCCAGCACTTTGGGAGGCCGAGGCGGGTGGATCACGAGGTCAAGAGATCGAGACCATCCTGGTCAACATAGTGAAACCCCGTCTCTACTAAAATTACAAAAAATCAGCTGGGCATGGTGGGGCATGCCTGTAATCCCAGCTACTCAGGAGGCTGAGGCAGGAGAATTGCCTGAACCCAGGAGGTGGAGGTTGTGGTGAGCCGAGATCGCGCCATTGCACTCCAGCCTGGGTAACAAGAGCGAAACTCCGTCTCAAAAAAAAAAAAATACAAAAAGTAGCCAGGCATGGTGGCAGGCATCTGTAGTTCCAGCTACTTGGGAGGCTGAGGCAGGAAAATCGCTTGAGCCTGGGAGGCAGAGGTTGCAGTGAGCTCAGGTCGTGCCACTGCACTCTGGCCTGGGTGACAGAGTGAGGCTCCACTCAAAAAAAAAAAAAAAAAAACACTGTGAGGAAGACTCAGGATTCTTCAGAGAACTTTGGAGCAATTTAGAAAGACAGAGCTGCCAGGCACGGTGGCTCATGCCTATAATCCCAGCATTCTGGGAGGCCAAGGCAGCAGATCACCTGAGGCAGGGCGTTGAGACCAGCCTGACCAACATGGAAAAACCTCATTTCTACTAAAAATACAAAATTAGCCAGGTGTGGTGGCGCATGCCTGTAATCCCAGCTACTCAGGAGGCTGAGGCAGGAGAATGGCTTGAACCCGGGAGGTGGAGGTTGAGGTGAGCAGAGATCTCATAATTGCACTCTAACTTGGGCAACAAGAGTGAAACTCAATTTCAAAATAAATTAATAAATAATAATAAAATAAAAATAAAGTAAAAAGAGCCAGAATAAACATCATCCATTTTCTTTGAAACAGAATCCCATGACTGGATCCACACTGTGAAATAAAGGTCTGACCACTGGGGCTCAGGACCAGGGTTAAATTGGGGAAGGAGAGGTGTAAAATGTAGTTATGATAGTCGGGCATGGTGGCTCACGCCTGTTATCCCAGCACTAGGCAGACAGATCACCTGAGGTCAGGAATTCGAGACCAGCCTGGGCAACATAGTAAAACCCCATCTCTACTAAAAGTACAAAAATTAGCCAGATGTGGTAGCGGGCACCTGAAATCCTAGGTACTTGGGAGGCTGAGGTAGGAGAATCACTTGAACCCGGGAGGCGGAGGTTGCAGTGGGCCGAGATTGCCTCATTGCACTCCAGACTGGGCGACACAGCGAGACTCTGCCTCAGAAATAAATAAATAAATAAAACGTAATTATGGCAAGGTCAAGACACAGTTAACTACCTGCTAGGCATTCATTTTATTTCTAGACCCAATGGATTTAAAAAATATTAAAACAGCCAGACGTGCTGTAGCTTGGGTTCAAAATACACAGAGAGGTCATGCTGATGTGAAGACGACCATAATGAGGAGAGCAGGCTAAATGATCTTTAAGAGCCTTTCCAATAATAATTCCCCTGCCTCTTCCACATGGATGTGCCAGTGGTTTCTGAAGACTATGTGCAACTTCTATTATAGATGAGGATGTTGGCCCTGTTATTACATGACTAAGGAGAAGTAGTGCCAGTTTCAAGAGCCCAGAGAGGAGAAATGAAATGACTGAGCTAGCATCACTAATCAGATGAACTCAGAAAGGCTACCTGGGGCTATAAAATTAGGGAAGAGGAATAAACAAAGGGCTTCAGGGAGAAAACGGTAAAAGACTTCAGAGTTGGAGGAAAGGAACTAGGTATCCAGAAAAGAGAAAAGAGAGCTCCAGCTGAGGAAAAGGAAACCAGATCTGCTCAAGTTCTCAAAACATGAAAGGAATGAGAAAGACCACCTCTAGAAATTAAAGGAGGGAGGAATCAAGAAGAAAACAAATCCATAAAGAAATCAACAAGAAATAGAAAAATCAGTGATACCAGCTGGTATAGAAAAAAGATCCTTACAATTTAAACAGATCTTGTCAGTTTACTCAGTCATCAGGACAGTATCTACCATATAATAAGATGTATACCAAATATCTGCAGAGTAGAAGAACGTTACTTAATCCCCACAACAACCCTAGGACCGAGAAGTATACAACCCGAGATTACCATGGTGAGGTACAACAAAGTACAAAGGTGCAATATAAAAAGCCTAAAATCCAGAATGTGGGACACAGCCTAGATACACTTTAGGACAGGGATGATCTTTAGATTTGTGAAGGCTGTGAAATAATATGACAAGTCTACTTAAGTAGAGTTTTCTATTGAGAGGGCTCAGGGATTTTAAGAAGAATTTCAATGTGAGTTTATGAGGAACTGATGTACTACTAAGCTATTAATTTATGTTGAGAAACGATTAGTATGAATGTGATATATTATTCATTCTTTTTAATATTCATTCTTAAAATCAGCTCAAGAGATTCAAATGAAAATGAGCACAAAAACACTTTGGGAAGTTTTATATCTAGGTTATATAGTTTTGCATACATCTACATAGTATCTGAATATCTTCTGGACATTAAGTATTATATGTCTGTATTACACAGTAAACACCTTTAAAAACTCAGACTAACACTGCTATTTTGTTGCTCTTTTTATATCATACTCCCCTCCCCCAGCAATTTTTAGACACATTCTCTCAGGTTTCTCATGTTGCCTATCAAACTTATGAATACACCTAAAGGCACTTATTTTTTGGCTTAGATTTTGGTTTTTCAATAAATATTAAAGACACTTTTGTATTGCATATATTCATTAATACTAACCCTTTAAACTGGAGAGTCCGCAAAACATTTTCTTTCAAAGAAATCACACATTCTAATAGAACAAAACAGGCTTACACTATACCAATTCTGTATAAGTAACATACATAAGTTTCCAAACTGAAACTCCCTAAGTGAAAGTTACTAGAAACAAAAACTGAAACACCAGGTTCCTGACAACCCCCCCCCCAACACTGATGCTCAAATTACTTGAGGCCGAATTTTAAAACACTATTACTTCTCTGTAATTATGAAAACAAACCTATGAACACGTATTTGTTACTTATATTTAACCGATCCTCCCCACCCAACCCTTTATATTAGGCAGAAAACTGAAAACAACTAAAGGCATTACATTTTGGTGTCTTTTAAAACACTGTAAATTACTGCTATTACAAAACAACCCTCCCCGGCTGCCCCCACAAAAAAACCCTCATAACAGAATCAAATGAGCCCTAAGGCGAAGCAGGAACTATAGTGTGGGAAGGAAAATTTAAAAAGACATCTGTGTCTTTAATTTATTGCAATTAAAGTGCAGTCCTCGAACCGCTAAACACCCTGGCTTCTTGTATAATTTTTTTTTTCTTCCCAGGGGTATGAAGCGGTAAGGAAGGCTTAGACAATAAAATCCAGAGGTCAATTTAAAACACGCTGGGACAGGGAGAAACTATTGAGAAGCACCAAGGTCAATGTAATCTAAGGGGCTCCTCTATCTTTTTGGAGTAGGTATTTCGCTGGACTTCAACCGTCGGGAACCGAGTTGGAGGCAAGAAATTTGGGGGAAAGCGGGGAGAAAGGGGAAGCTGGAAAGAAAGAGGTAAGTAATGGGAAGGGGAGGAGAGGAAAGGGGAGCACAAGAGCTAGCCGAGTAGGAGCGGGCAGAGGGGAGGCCGGGCGGGGGGCCGGGCGGGGGCCCGGGGTGGGGAGAAGGGGAAGGGAGCCCCGGGCCTGGCCCCGGCCCCGCCCAGCCCCTGGGAGGCCTGCGCGCCCTCCCGCCCCCTTACCAGCGGGAGCAGGAAGCCCAACAGCAGTGCGGCCGCGGTAGCTGGCAGCCGCCGCTGCGGCCCCATCGGGCTGGTGGGAGCCAGGTGGGGCGGCGCGGCGCGGCTCACTCGTAGGGGTACGCTCGGGGTCCCGACGCTAAGCTGCCTCCGTGGCCGGACCGGACCGGACAGGGGCTGACTGGGCTAGGATGGGACCGCTGCTGCTGCAGGGGCCGCCACGGCAGCGCCGACTTCCTCTTCCGGCCCCGCCCGTAAGATGCGGAAACCCCCGCGCGAGGCTTGAAGAGTCCCCGCGCTCTCCCGGCGTCCGGGCGTCCCGGCACTGCGAGGCCACCGGCTGCGGGCCTGGGCCTGTCGCTTTCCGGCTGCCTGATTTTAACTCACGCCGAAGCCTTGCGGGAGAAGGGATTTCTCGAGGCCTGCTTCTCAAGGCTTGGAAGCGTCTGAGCGTCTGCTGGGTTCCCCAGTAACCACCGTAGTGTTGCATGGAGCCAGAAATCTAAGGGTCACCCTAATTCATCTGCCTGTCATTTGATCCTGGCCATTCTAACTCACCGCATAACCCAAATCCATCCAGTTTCTCCAGAACTGCCACCACTCTATCCAGGCCACCAACGTCTCCTACAAATGGGCCTCAGTTTCCGGACAGCCCAGTGGCCACGTAGCAGTACCAGAGTGATCTTTCAAAACATATAAATCAGATCGTGTCACTCTCCAGTCGTGTCACACTTGGAATAAAATCAAAACTCTACTCAGGCCTGCAAAGTTAAATGTGGCCCCTGCCTTCCTGTCTTTCCATCTTCACTACTTTCCCACACGTTAAGGCGGACGGACCTTTGGCCCTTCCGGCCTTTGCTCTGGTAGTCTTCCCTACTGAAGTGCTCTGCTCTCCAAAACTCAGAATACCTGCCTTCATGTATCAGCTTCAATGTTGCTTCCCAGGCAGGACTTACTGACATACCCAATCTAAAGCACCTGAGCAGTCACTTTCCTTCTCCCTCCCTCCCTCTCTCCCTTCCTTTTCTTCCTTTCTTCCCCCCTTCCTTCCTTCCTTCTTTTGTGAGATGGAGTCTCCCTCTTGTTGCCCAGGCTGGAGTGCAGTGGCACGATCTCAGCTCACCGCATCTTCTGCCTCCTGGGTTCAAGTGATTCTCCTGCTTGAGCCTCCCGAGTAGCCTGGATTACGGGCATGCACCACCATGCCTGGCTAATTTTGTATTCTTAGTAGAGACAGGGTTTTCTCCATGTTGGTCAAGCTGGTCTTGAACTCCCGTCCTCAGGTGATGTGCCCACCTTGGCCTCCCAAAGTGCTGGGATTATATGTGTAAGCCACTGTGCCCAGCCTGTTCAGTCACTTTCGTATCATGGTTTATTTAAATTTTCTGCATAGCACTTTTCATTCTATGTATAGGCTCATTTATTTATATCACCTCCTCTTGATAGCAAAGAGTGTCTTTGCTTTGTTCACTGCTATACCCTTTATATCTACAGCATTTGGCATATAGTAGGTCCTCAGATATTTGTTGGATTAATATTTAATATCAAATGCTGAATAGGACAGTGTCCCTACCACACCACAGCTCATAGTTTAGCAAGGGACACAGACGTGTGAGCAAACACAGTTCAGGGTGCCTCTTGTTTGCACAAGATATTATGGAAATATCAAAAGGAGGTATAAAAGGGGTGCCAGGAAAAACACCAGCCTGAGCTGAGTCTAGGTCAGTTAATTTTAGCAAGGCAAAGGGTAGAAGAAGGGGGACACTTCCAGGAAGAGTGAGCCATTAGTGTCAAAGCCAAAGGTGGCATTGAAGGAACTGCAAAACTTGGCCTTGGCTGAAGTTATGAGAGATGAAAGATGACATGTGAGAAGAGGTCAGAGGCCAAATCACAAATACATTGGGACTGTTTGTGATTTTGGGTTTTGTCATGCCAGGGGTAAAGAACAAATGAATAATAAACAGGGCAATGACATACACTTTCTGTTTTAGAAAGCTCTCTATGGTGGCTGGTAGGGCGGCAGACGTGTTGAAACAGGGCAAGAAGTGGAATCCAGGAGACCTGTTAGACCATCTACAGTAACAACCCAGGGACAGTGAGGACTTGAACTGTGGCAGAAGAAATGGGGAGGAGGACATGGATCTAAAAGATTGGTAGAAGAATTTGGTGATTGAGAAGACATGGAGATAAAGGGAGAGGTACGTCCCAGTGTCTTGCCCTGGGCTATTTATTGAGTTGGGTGTCACAGGTGAAGGAGGTCAAGTTGATAGGACAAATGAGGGAGGAGAAATACTTTTGGATGTGAGTCTGAAATGCTTGTAGGATATCCACATGCAAATATCTGTTGATTGATGGCTATGTGGGTTGGTCTGAAGCTTAGGGGCACAGTGAGGCCAGAACTGCCTCATTTGCTGCCTGTCAATTCTGAACTCTTTTCATACCTTCAAGTTGCCCACAGCAAGCCAGATCACCCCAGCACCCCGCCTTTGTTTTTTGAGATGGAGTTTCGCTCCTGTTGTCCAGGCTGGAGTGCAGTGGTGCAACTGTACCCGACCCAGGTTCCCCTTTTATAGAACAGCTGTGATGGACTAGATGATTTCATCTCTAAATATTGCCTTCTGCTTCTCGTATCCCTTTGCCTAGTGAATCGCCAAATTGGCTCCTGGGCTATTGGAAAAGCTCTAGTTTTTGTTTGTTTTTATTTTTCGAGACAGGGTCTCACTCTGTGGCCCAGACTGAAGTGCAGTGGCATGATCTCGGCTCACTGCAGCCTCAACATCCCAGCTCAGGTAATTATCTTACCTTAGCCTCATGGGTAGCTGAGACTACAGGCATGCACCAACACGACTGGCTAATTCTGGTATTTTTTTGTAGAGATGAGGTTTCGCTGTGTTACCCAGGCTGGTCTCGAACTCCTGAGCTCAGGTGATCTGCCTACCTCCCAAAGTTCTGGAACTTGTGAAAGGAAAATAAGTCTTGGGACCCCAAAATCACTAAGCCAAAGGGAAAAGTCAAGTAGGGGAACTGCTTAGTGCAAACCTGCCTCCCATTCTATTCCTTAATAAAAGATAGCTACTAAGATAAAGAGCTATATACCTCCTTCAGAAGGAGTTTCCTTGCGGACAGAGGACAGACAGAACTCAAAGTCATCCCTTTGCTCACTGAGGTAAATGCGTATCTGATTGTTTCCTTTGGAAAGGCTAATCAGAAACTCAGAAGAATATAACCATTTTTCTCTTGCCTACATATGACCTGGAAGCCTTCTCCCCGCTTCGAGTTGTCCGCCTTTGCCTTTCCAGACGGAACCAATGTACATCTTACATATTGATTGATGTCTCATGTCTCCCTAAAATGTATAAAAACCAAGCTGTGCCCCGACCACCTTGGGCACATGTCGTGAGGACCTCCTGAGGCTGTGTCACAGGCGCATGTCCTTAACTTTGGCAAAATTAACTTCCTAAATTGACTGAGACCTATCTCAGATATTTGGGGTTCACAGACTACAGGCATGAGCCACTTTTCCGGGTCTGAAGCTCTCTAGTTTTCTTGCCTCCATTTGTGCTGATTTTTCCATTCCCTTGGTTGGAAAAAAACAATGTTGGCAGCCAAGGAACATGTGTTATATGGCTGGTTCCCTTTGCAATCTGTCTTTATCTGCTTTAGTTTTCTCAAATGAAAAATGTGAACAGTAATAACTCTTCAGCCTATGTTGCATGATTGTTGTAAAAATTAACTGATTTGTAATGTGAGTAAAATTACTCTGAAAATTAAAAAAAAAGAAAAAAGAAAGAAAGAAGGAGGGGCTGGGAAGGAGAATCAGCAAAATAGAAGGCTGTAATCTAAAGTGTCAGCACTATTTGTCATAATTCTTCTGCCAGAATGGTTTCTCTTTAGTCAAAGTCCCTGTGCAGGATGAGATGAAGGAAAATGGGAGGATTAATGGAAAATTAAAAGATTCTTATTTAATGACTTTATTGCTGAAAAGGTGGTTACACATGAATTTCCCTGCAAGTATTAGGTAGGATAAAGACTATCTGGGTATTTTTTAGTCAGTGTTTTTCTTCTATAAAGAAATTACGTATAATAACACAATTATGCAAAATAAGTATAAATAGATTAAAGAGCATTTTGATTTGTAAATATATTTAGTTGATAGAATTTCTTCTTCTTTATTTATTTAGATGGAGCCTTTCACCGTCACCCAGGCTGGAGTGCAGTGGCGCGATCTCTGCTCACTGCAACCTCCGCCTCCTGGGTTCAAGCGCTTCTCTTGCCTCAGCCTCCCAAGTAGCTGGGATTTCAGGTGCCCACCACCATGCCCAGCTAATTTTTTGTATTTGTAGTACAGACGGGGTTTCACTATGTTGGCCAGGCTGGTCTTGAACTCCTGACCTCATGATCTGCTCTCCTCGGCCTCCCAAAGTGCTGGGATTACAGGCATGAGCCACCACACCCAACCAGAATTTTTTTCTTTTGTCTCTTTCTTTCTCTTTCTTTCTTTCTTTCTTTCTTTCTTTCTTTCTTTCTTTCTTTCTTTCTTTCTTTCTTTCTTTCTTTTTCTTTCTTTCTTTCTTTCTTTCTTCTTTCTTTCTTTTTTTCTTTTCTTTTCTTTCTTTTCTTTCTTTCCTTCTCTTTCTTTTTTCCTTCCTTCCTTCCCTGCTTCCTTCCTTCCCTCCCTCCCTCCTTCCCTCCTTCCCTTCCTCCCTCCTTTCTTTCTTTCCTTTCTTTTTCTTTCTTTCTTTCCTTCCTTCCTTCTTTCCTTTTTCTTTTGACGGAGTTTCACTCTGTTGCCAAGGTTCGAGTGCAATAGTGCAATCTCAGCTCACTGCAGCCTCCGCCTCCCGGGTTCAAGCAATTCACCTGCTGCAGCCTTCCAAGTAGCTGGGATTACAAGCGCCCAACGCCATGCCCAGCTAATTTTTTTGTATTTAGTAGAGACTGGTCTCGAATTGCTGACTTCAAGTGATTCACCCACCTTGGCCTCCCAAAGTACTGGGATTACAGATGTGAGCCACTGCGCCTAGCCAATTTATTCTTTTTCTGTATAATAAAAGATAGCATGTTAGAACCTTTCTCTTAATTTTAGTTTTTATTTTTGAGACAGAGTCTCGCTCTGTCATCCAGGCTGGAGTGCAGTGGTGCAATCTCTCCTCACTGCAACCTCCGCCTCCAGGGTTCAAGTGATTCTCCTGCCTCAGCCTCCTGAGTAGCTGGGATTACAGGGCGGTGCTGCCGCACCCAACTAATTTTTTTTTTTTTTTTTTTTTTTTAGTAGAGACAGGGGTTTCACCATGCTGACCAGGATGATCTGCCTGCCTTGGCCCCCCAAAGTGCTGGGATTACAGGCGTGAGCCACTACGCCTGGCCAGAACCTTTCTATATTCCAGGAAGCAGGCAGAAAATATTGGCTTCATTTTACAAAAAGAGAAACTGCCAGATTGACAGCAGAGGAAGAGGAGCTGAAACTCATTGTCCTGTCCCTGCACACTAGATCATTCATAGGACGTGTTGTTTGCCAGCACTGCGCAGTGTTTTTACCCAGGGGATAATGAGCTGCAAGGACTTTTTTGGGCAACTGGATAATTACTTTAGTACATGGTTCCTGATAATGGTTTGACTTACAATTTTTTGTCTTTATGATGGTGTGAAAACAATATGCATTCATTAAAAACCGTACTTTGAATATCCATGCAAACATTGTTTTTCACTTTCAGTACAGTATTCAATAAGTTATATGAGATATTCAACACTTCATTACAAAATAGGCTTTGGATTAGGTGATTTTGCCCAACTATGGACCAGTGTAAGTGTTCTGAGCATGTTTAAACTAGGCTAGGCTGTGAGCAGTGGCTCATACCTATAATCCCAGCTGTTTGGGAGGCCGAGGTGGGCAGATCACGAGGTCAGGAGATCAAGACCATCCTGGCCATGGTGAAACCCTGTTCTCTACTAAAATACAAAATATTAGCCAGGTGTGGTAACACGTGCCTGTAGTTCTAGCTACTCAGGAGGCTGAGGCAGGGGAATTGCTTGAATATGGGAGAAAGAGGTTGCAGTGTGCTGAGATCATGCCACTGCATCCCAGCCTGGTGACAGACTAAGACTCTGTCTCAAAAAAAAAAAAAAGAGATAAGCTAGGCTAAGCTATGGTGTTCAGTAAAGTAGGTGTATTGAATGCATTTTCAACTTATGGGTTTATCAGGATGTAATCCCATTGTAATTCAAGGAACATCTGTATAAACTAGCGATCCTCAATCTTGGCTACTTATAGAATCACACAGGGGAACTTTAAAGGATATTGATGTTTCAGTCCCAATACTTCCCCTCTCCCCACACAGATCCTAAGTTTAATTTTCTGAATGTAGTCTGGTGAATCAGGATTGTTAAAGCTCCCTAGATGATTCTAATATTCAGCTAAGGTTGAGAAATGTTGTCTTAGACTGTGATTCTTAAAGTGTGGCTCCTGGACCAGCATATCAGAAACACCTGGGAACTATAAGAAATTCAAATTCTTGGGCCTCACCCCAGAAAATCTGGAAGTAGGGTCCATCAATCTATTCTATTAATAACAAACCCCCATGTGATTCTGATGCATGCTGAAGTTTGAGAACCATTGGTTTGAAGCAATGTCCTTCAACTCTGGCTGCATATTAGAGTCATCTGAGAAATTAAAATGAAACTAAATAAATCCTATGCTCCAATACAAATTAAACAGAAAGGAAAAATAGATGAATTAATAATTATAGTTAAATATTTCAAGCGAAATATTTCAATAATTGAAAGAACAAGTAGGCAGAAAATCAGCAGGGATACAGAAGACTCGATCAACACCATCTACCAACTTGATCCAATTGGCATTTATAGAACACTCCACCCACCAGCTGCATAATTTCAAGGGTACACAGGACCTTTACCAAATGAACTATTTGGCCATAAAACACATCTTGATAAGTTTAAGAGGTTTAAATCATACAAAGTATGTACTCTGACCACAACAGAAATGGAAATCAGTAACAGAAAGATGTCTGGAAAATCCCTAGGTAATTAGAAATTAGATATATGGGCTGAGTGCAATGGCTCATGCCTGTAATCCTAGCACCTTGGGAGGCTGAGGCAGATGGTGAAACTGGGACCCACTGACACATCTACTGAAGAGTTTTAAATAAACTCATGAGAGGAATGGGAGAACTGCTTGCCCAAACACAAATGTCTGTGCCGTCAGACTACAGATGCATTGTGACTGTAATCTCTTCAGAAAACTCCTAAGGAACCCCTGTACTGTTTAGAAGACCAGTGGTTTCACTACTATTCATAACAAAGTCTATAACCATATACTCTGGACCAACATCGGAGTATTACCTGGATGCTTGTTAGAAATGCATAATCATGCCAGGAATAGGTGTGATTAAGACCTGCTGGATCAGCTGGGCATGGTGGCTCACACTTGTAATCCCAGCACTTTGGGAAGTCGAGGTGGGTGGATCACCTGAGATCAGGAGTTTGAGACCAGCCTAGCCAACATGCCAACATGGTATAAACCCCATCCCTACTTAAAAAAAAAAAAAAATTAGCCAGGCATGATAGCAAGCACCTATAATCTGAGCTACTCCAGAAGCTGAGGCAGGAGACTTCCTTGAACCTGGTAGGCAGAGGTTGCAGTGAGCCGATATTGCACTATTGTGCTCCAGCTTGAGTGACAACAACAACAACAAAAAACCTGCTGGATCAGAATCTGCTTTTTTTTTTTTTGAGACAGTGTCTCACTTTGTCA